ACCTCAAAAGCAATCACAGCTTGCTGACTTTGACTTCAAATTTCAATGCCTTGATTTTGCAAAGAGAAATTCAAAGAAGCATCAGGCCTGCAATGATCTTAGAGACTGATCTTACTTCGATTGCCTTTATACTCGTAATCTTTGCATATGTATGTTCAGCTAATAACTGTATCACTTTTACTTGAAAACTACATAGTAGTTTTACAGAAAATAAACTGTCTTGTTTAAAACTACAACTTTGTCCTTGTATATTTTTAAATTTAATCTCTTGCAAGTTAAAAGCAGATTACATTGCCAGAGAGAAATTCTTAGCTCATAGATCACTTTGAGAAAATGCCTTTTATGTGGTTATGATAATAATTATCTGTATAAATGTATTCAGAGTTATGATACATGCCCCTAGCAGACAAAACATAATACCAGGATAGTAAATTCTTAAAGTTAGTATTGGGTGCCAAAAGTTGAAACAATTTGTTTCACAGAGCTGTTATCAATGTATCCACTTTTCCTTTCCCCTCTTCCCACACTTGGTATTCCTTCTTCACCCGATCACAGACCAACACCTGAGTTGTTACACAAGCTGCTAGTGAGAAGTCAATAGTGGACTAACTCGTGGTATGGTAAATATAACATTTACAAATATCATGTAGAGTCATATGGTTTTACAGCATGGCCCATCATGCCCACATCTGTTATCAAATACCCATTTACTCTAATCCCATTTCACAGCACTTGGATTGTAGCCTTGAATACGATTACTTTTAATGTATTTATCTAACTACTTCATAAATGTTGTGATAGTTCCCGTCTCTACCCCCTCACCCCACCACCCCACCCCCAACCCTTTTCAGATAGTGAGCTCCAGACAACCACCACACTCTGGATGAAACATAGAAACATAAACGTAGAAACACATCCCCTTTAAACTTTCTGCTCTTTAACCTAAATCTATGTCCCTCACATTATTGACGTCTCCAGTAAGGGGAAAAGATCAGATGCCATGAGTTCATATCTCAGTTTTGCACAATAAAACCTCCATGATACCCCCAACTAGTGCTGTAACTTCTAGTGGAAGGAGCTATCAATTGGACAGAAGGCCAATGTGGAAAGAATCTTTTGGGTACATGAGATCACACATGGTGTCACATTAGGGTTTTACAGATCAACGCCATTGCAATAATGTGTAGGAATGGTTTTCACACAATTTAATGTTCATGTATTACCTGACCAGCTAAATGTCGTGATGTATATCCAGGATAAGTCTTAGGACTGTGTTTTACACATGCTTCTGCTGGGCCATCTTGAACAATTAGTTCAGTGTCCTTTTATCACCACAACCTCCTTTGCAATGGTGAGCTAAACCTTTAACAGCAGCTACATCACTCCACTTTGCTCTCCCTTGCCCCATATACTATTTATTTAAAGTATCTAATGGGGTCCATTGTGAAATTTTGTTCTGGCCATGCATTTAATGAAGTCTATTATGAAATTGTGCAACACTAATTTTGTTATGAATACAAAATCAAATCACACGGTGGTTCTAATAATGAAGCAGCAGTACAACAATGGTCATTACTCATCCAAAGGAAATTTGTATGTATTCAAGTGACACTTAATGCATATATAAGCGAATGTCACTGCAGCGTGAATTTCTTCCAGGAGTTCAGACTATGACCCTAAAAGGACACAAAGGGCCTCAAAATATACTGAGTGTTTATATTGGAAAGCAGACAGCTAAGATGTGATTTTCCATTGCATTGAATTGTACAATCAGTGCATAAATATGCACAAGTGTAAAAATAAAATTGTTTTAGATTCTTAGAGTTTTAAATCTACTTTGCATGGAGATTTGTTAGCTGAGCCACAACTGCCAAATGTCACCAAATCCAAAGCAGAATTTAATAAATTAACTTTCAAAAAACCTAACTCGAGGACATTACCTAGATAATTGTGCGCTGTTATCTTTCAGCTGCACATGCTCCTGGATCTCCATATCAAGTTCCTGTTGGGTTTTGCAGCTATTTAGTCTGGTTTTGACATTTTAAGTGTAAACCACAAATAAAGTTTACTGCAACATGTCCCAGAAACAAAGATTACAAACCTTGAAAACTCTGGCATGGAATTTGGATAGGGACAGGCTGCGGTTTCATCTGTTGAACAATGATTGTGGCAGCAGGGAATATTGAGGGAGCATTGTAGATGCTGCCTTTCGGACAAGAAATTGAAATGAAGATTTTGTCTTCCTGGTCTTCTGGGTGTCCTCAACATGGTCCTGCTATTTTGAAGAAGAGCTAGGAAGTGCTTCCCAGTGTTTTGGCTGATATTTATCCCTCAACCAACATTGTCAGTGGACTGGTTACCCACAGTCCCAGACTAATGTTCTGTGGATATGGATTTGAAGCCTGCGATAGCGGATGTTTAAATTTGACCTCAATTTTAAATATTAAGGAATCAAAAATAGCTTGTATAATGGCAACCTTGTAGCATTTGCCAATTTTCATAAAAACCCATCTGGCTCACTAATATGTCTTTGGGGAGGAAATTTACTGTCCTTACCTAGTCTGGCTTACATGTGACTTCAGACCCACAGCAATGTGGCTGACTCTTAACAGCCCTCTGAAATAGCCGAGCAAGTTACTCAGAACGAGAGCAATTATAGTTGGGCAATAAATGCTAACTTAGCTAGCAATGCTTACAGCCCAGGAACAAATATTTTACAAATATGTTTATTACCACATTGGTCTTTGTAGGAACTTGCAGTGTTCAAACTGTCTGTTGTGTTTCCTACACTACAATAGTAATCTCACTTTAAAAGTACTTGAGTGTGACAATGTGGTAATGTCACATTTCTAGTAATCCACAGCCCTGACTCCCTGACTGGGGCACCAGTGCAAATCCCACCATGGTACTTAAGATTCAATTAAGTAGTAATGTAATAATTACAGAAACATTGAGGTCTACAGCACAGAAAAAGACTCTTCAGCCCATTGAGTCCATGCCGATCAAAAGCAAGCACTCAACTCTCCATTATGGGTCATCTTAAGGATTAAAAATGCAGAAACTTGGTTTCAAATTAAAGTGAGCTAGAGCTTGCTAGTTTTTTTGCTGTATTATGGCCAGATGTGCTTATAAATAAGGTTTAAACATTTGACTTATCCAAGAGACTTGTAGAATAAGAAGATCCTGAGGTTATTACGGAGACAGTTGCTTGAGGATGGAGGAACTGAACCTGCTTTTCAACAGTCAGTAAATATAGGAAGGTTGATCAAACTCTGTCTGTTGGGTTTAACCAAAGAACTTGGTTATTTAACTTTAGAGATGCCTATTCTTGGACCTAAGGTTGTATTGGTACCTTTGATATTCAATTTATATTCTTTATAAGGCACGCAGCCTGAGGGATTTTATAGTTTCTAGCTGCTCTAGGTACTATGGCTGAAAAGTATAGGTAGTGTGGATCTTTCCCCATTGCACCTCTGTTGCAGCTGCCGAAAGCTTTAGTGCTTATTGAATCCCTACAGTGTGGAAGTAGGCCATTCAGCCCACCAAGCCCATACTGACAATCCTACCCATTCTTGTCCCATAACCCTGCAGCTCCCATGGCTAAATCATCTAACCCACATATCCTTGGACACTATGGGCAATTTAGCACAGCCAATCTACCTAACTTGCGCATCTTTGGACTGTGGGAGGAAATTGGAGCACCCAGCAGAAACCCACACAGACACGGGGAGAACGTACAAACAGACAGTTGCCTGAGGGTGGAGTCGAGCCCAGGTCCCTGCCACTGTGAGGCAGCAGTGCTAACCACTGGTGCTAGATCCTTAGATCAGTCTGCAACACTCAGTTGAGGATGAATGTTTGCTCCAGAAAACCAACAAGTTTTAGGCAGATCAAAGAGCATTTTTCACGGAGTTGATGATCCTCTGGGTACAATGGATGATTGTCACAATGTGTGACCTGGGAACAGCATGGACAGCACAGTGTTCTGCATTATGGAACTGTGGGCATGAACCTCGACAAAAACCATACATCTCCCTCCAGACTTCTTTGCATGCAAGTCACTTTGCAGGCACTGTGTGTGAACTCTACCCTATATGTTGAGAAGCTCAGCAGCAGGAGCATGAAAGGATTCTGCCTGACTGAACATTTCAAGCCTGGTAATTATTGGGTAGCATGATACTGCCTGCATCACTTTGAAAGAGTGTGGTTTAATCATGCATCATGGTCCCCTAGCTATTGTCAGGAGCTATCAAATGTACCCCATCACATGGTTACAGTTGCAAACTCTTGTTGTGGGTATTCTTGGGGCATTGTGTAATTTCCTGCTTTATAAAAACTGAAGTGTATTCAAGGTCGAGATTAGGTATACTTAAGCCTGAGAAAGACAGTTTTTTTTTATTCAGTGCATGAATCGGGGGTTATGGGGTAAAAGGCAGGAAAATGGAGTTGAGGATTATCAGATCAACCGTGATCTCAGTGTATAGCGGAATGAACTCGATGGGTTGAATGGCTTACTTCTGCCGTGGTCTTATCCATCTACATAGGGCTAATTCACGACCACTGGACAACTCATTAGCGCTCTGTGTCCAACAGAGTACTTTTGAAGAGCAGTAACCAATACAATGTGGGAAACCAGGCTGTCAAGTTTGCAGAGAACAAACTCTCACCCAGATAACCTGTCTTTGTGACCGTAACTGAGGGATTAAAATTGCCCAGGATGAAGGGGAGGGCGTTCAAAAAGTGTTAAAAAATTATTCTTTTTTTAAATGTGATTTTTTTTCTCTCTCTTCTGGCTTGCAAGTGGCTTGCAGAGATCAATTTTAATTAAAACTGGAATGATTGTCTGCCCTTAATGATGGCTCTTATCAAAACAAACGATAGACGGCTCTCCTGCAACAACAAACAAACATATTCAACATTCAGTTTCACGCATATAAACAGCAAACGGTTTGTTCCTTGGGTTTACACGCACGCACAACGATGCAAACTGCTGGCTGTATTTACTACATCAGATCAGGCTGCTGATGCCCCCTTTACATAGAGGGGTCTGGCTTGGATAGACACGCATGCGTTCAGCTACTGGCGTCAGCCGAGGCTGCAGTTTTTTTTCATTTTTTTTTTCCTCTCTCTCCGTCTTAATCAGGTCGGGAGCAGAGAGGGGGGAAAGGAGAGAGGAGAAAAGCCAGGTATGGAGAAAACCTAACCCCATAAGCAGAGGAGAGGAGAGATTTCGCTACATTAGGCACCAGGATCGGTGTAAATAAGAGAGGGCAAGGAAATGGCCATTCACTCCCATTTGCAAATTTCTGGGTTGGTGTGTGCCGGGTTTTAAATACAATTGGATCCGGGCTGTCAGCAACACTTGAGAGGGGAGGTGGGGGTGAGAATCACAATAACTGAAGGAGGAGTGATGCCCACAGAAAGGGAGAGAGGGGTAGCCGGTGTGTTTTTGCAAGGCTGCTCGGCGGAGACTGCAGGATCTTAAGAGGATCACGGCGGGGATGGAGACGGTCAATGGGAGCCCTGAGATCCAGCAGCAGCAGTGCGTGGAGAAGAAGCGGCTGAACAGAGCTCCTTCCCCGGCCAGACCCCTGAAGGATCTTCACTGCCGAGCGTCCTCCGCTGCCAAGCTCTGCCTGCCCCCCAAACCCGGGGTGTTACCGCCGCCTTCGTCCCCGACCCTTCCTCTCTCCAAACCTCAGCTGCAGCCCCCACATCAGCAACACGTCCCCGGGTTGCTGCTAGCTGCTCACGGCCGACTCACCAGGAGGAGCGGAGTCCTGGGGGGCGGTAAGGACAAAACCTCGGCCGGGGGGAAAGCGGGTGTCCCCTCTGCCAAGTCTCCCCTGTCCGCCCCCCACTTAGCCAAGAGGCTCTCCAGCTCCAAGGGACACCAGGAGAAAGGCAGACACCACCATCAGGAACAGCAGCACCAGCTCAGAAAAGTCAAGAAATGCCTCCTGATCGAGCCCAGCCCTGGGCTGTCATCAACGACAGCGACCCAGGCTCCGTCCCCCTCTCCCCTCGCCAAGACCAGCCATACCGATAGCAGCTCCGATCTGTCCGACTGCGCTTCCGAGCCTCTGTCCGACGAGCAGCGCCCGGCCCCCGGGGAGCTGGCCACCACCAGCGACGCCGAGTCCGGTACCGGCTCCAGCGACGCCGAGAGCGGGAGGAGATGCCGAGAGAGCCAGCAGCAGCAGGCAGCCGGCGGAGCGCCGCTTACCCCCGAGCAGCAGCAGCGCCGGTCCCCGGCTCAAGGCAGCAATGCCACTGATGGAGAGCACGGGCCCGGGGCCGCCAAAGCCAGGCAAGAGTCGCGGGCTGGCAAGTTCTCCAGTCCGGCCGCTGAGGCTCAGGAAAGCGCTGGGAGGTCGCTGCACCAGGAGCTGCTCAGAGAGATTGAGGAGCTCCGCTCGGAAAACGACTATCTTAAGGTGAGAGAGAGATAGAGACAGTGCTCAGACGTTGCTCACTGCCGCTAACATTACCTTCCTGTGTCTCCTCTCTCCTACATTATTTCTCACCACCAAAATCCTCCCATTTATAACAGGTTTGATTATTGCATTCATCTCTTCAGTGTCACTAAAATTATTTGATATGTTTATTTTATATGATTGTGTTTTGCTTTCTAGTTCCTTCAGTGTTACCACTAACGTCCCCTTCACGATTTCCCCACTTGGACTTGAACATGATCTTGAGTTCTGACGGACCCGAAACGCTAACTCTGTTTTCTCCTCCACAGATGCTGCCAGACCTGCTAAGCTTTTCCAGCAACTTTGTTTTTGTTCATGATTTTGAGCTTAGTCCGCTAATTATTTTTAAGATTTATGATCCCCAATGACAGTAGTTTTAAATCTCGTCCCTTTCCAAACGAAGATATACGATCTGCCAATTATGATCTTAAATTTAATCCCTTTTTAAATTGAATATTCTTCCGTCGTATATGATCCCCAATTACAATTTTAAATTTCGTCCCTTTTTTAAAAAAAATTATGATAAATGATCTCAATCTTAAATTTAGTCCACTTTAGTTGAAGATTCCCTCATATATGATCTCCAATTGCAAGTTTAAATTTGGTGCCGTTTTTATGATACATACGGTACACATTTCGCCCCTTATTTTGTTAAGACCCATTCATTTGTGATCTCTCCGTCCCCAGTTTGATTTGAACGGAATCCTCTTCATTATTTTACAATTATGACGGTGCGTTGCTTGCCGGCTGTAAAATATTTGTCGGGGGGGGGGGGGAAAGTGTTTTGTTTTAATCTGCTGAGAATACAGTTCGGTGAGAAATAGAGGTTCATAAGTAGTGTGCTTCGCTCTGCTGCCCCTCCACTCGGCGCTTCTTTATTTTTAACGCTGCGGGATCTGGTTTCAAAGAGAACCATCTATCCTGTCACATTCACACAGATTCGAAATGAGCCAACAGGAGATGTCTGGCGGATTAAGGGCTGGCTGTGAAGAGAGCGTCACTGAGCTCTGGTTGGATAACCACTTTTCTGACTCGCTTCTTAAAAGATAGCGGTTGCCGGAGGGATAAATAATAAGCATTTTGGGTTTTTTTTTGAAGGAGGGCGTTGAGCAAAAAAAAGCAGTTGGAGGTAGTTTTACTGGTAGTTTTTTTAATGAGCATTTTTTGAATGTTGGAATGAATGGTGAGGCGCACACACACATACGCAGACCCTCATCCTAATGGGGGCGCCCAATGTGTGCACGTTGCAAACTGTAACGAAAACAAAGTTGCTGGAAAAGCTCAGCAGGTCTGGCAGCATCTGTGGAGGAGAAAACAGAGTTAACGTTTTGGGTCCGGTGACCCTTCCTCAGAACTGTGTAAGATAGTCACTCGAACGTAGAGAGTCATGGTGTGGAGGTGTCGGACTGGACTGCGCAAAAGGTCAGAAGTCCCACCACACCAGGTTATAAAAACCGAAAGAACTGCGGATGCTGTAAATCAGGAACAAAAACAGAAGTTGCTGGAAAAGCTCAGCAGGTCTGGCAGCACCCCGGAAGAAAAGATCAGATTCAATGTTTCGGGTTCGGTGACCCCTCCCCACAACTGATTGCAACGCTCCCAAAGCTTGTGATTTCAAATAAACCTGTTGGACTATAATCTGGTGTCTGACTTCTGCACTTAGAGAATCATAGAGATGTACGACATGTAAACAGGCCCTTCAGTCCAACTCATCCATACTGACTAGCTATCCTAAATTAATGTAGTGCCATTTACCAGCATTTGGTCCATATCCCTCTCAACCCCTCCTATTCATATACCAATCTAGATACCTTTGAAATGTTGTAATTGTACCAGCCTCTGCCACTTCCTCTGGCAGCTCATTCCACAGACTCACCACCCCCTGAGTGAAAAAGTTGCCCCTTAGGTCCCTTTTAAATCTTGCCCCTCTCACCTTCAACCTGTGCTCTCTAGTTTTGGACTCCCCTACCCTGGGGACATGACCTTGGCTATTCACCCTATCCATGCCCCTCATGACCTTATAAATCTCTATAAGGTCACCCATCAAAATAGTCCCGGACTATTCAGCCTCTACTTTTGGTGCATACATTTTGATGGTGGTCACTAGGAAAGTAGTGGTACAGCAAACGTGTGCCAGAAACTCAAAAATCCGAAAGTGTTTGTGTTAGGATTGAACCCCTTTGTCAGTAACTTAGCAGAAAAAAAGCACCTCACTCTCTGCCTCACTGAATTGCACTGAGCAGCTTTAAGTTGCACTTGCATGGGCAACATAAACAAGAAATTGTCAGGTCATTTTGAAACAATACCTTTTAATGATGTGAGATGTGTTCATCGCTGCCAGTCAGATCAAGAGACGACACAGTGTGGAGCTGGAGGAACACAGCAGGCCAGGTAGCATCAGAGAAGCAGAAATTTTCTGAAGAAGGGTCCCGACCGGAAACGTCAACTTTCCTGCTCCTCTGATACTGCCTGGCCTGCTGTGCTCCTCCAGCTCCACACTGTGTTATCCCTGACTCCAGCATCAGCAGTTCTTACTGTCTCTGTGCCAGTCAGATCAATTTTTTTTTAGAAAAAGTAATTCATGGGCTGCGGGCATTGCAGATTGGGCCAACATTTATTGTTTTAAAAACAACTTTATTGTAACTAACACCAGCTCCAACAGACAAAAGCAAATCTTAAACTTTGTATTAAGGAATGGTTCTCGAAGGGAGATAGTCGACCGGAAGGACTTTGTGCAATGTTGGAGGCTGAGGACCTGGGTCAGGGAGAACAGATGGGGTGCTGAAGTAGAGGGGTTTGTTTCCTGAGGTACTACTGTCCAGCTGCATCTGGACCACTCTCATTCTTACTTTGCTTCCTCAATGTGAGCTACATCCCAGCTTGCTGGCCGTGGAATCACTGCTATCATGTGTGGAGAATCTGTCCACGGACTGCCCCAGGCTTGAGCTTGCTTTTGGAGGGCTTGCTGTTGAGCCAGGCCTGCAGGCTGAGTAGTGTCAGGCAAAGTGGTCCAAGGTCCACATCCAGAATTGCCCAGGGAACAGCAGGCACAGCACTGAGCTGCATGGTGGTTCAGTGGCTAGCACTGCTGCCTTGCAGTACCAGGGACCTGGGTTCTGTCCCAGCCTTGGGTGACTGTCTGTTTGGAGTTTGCACGTTTTCCCCATGTCTGTGTGGTTTTCCTCCAACAGTTCAAAGATGTGCAGGTTAGGTGGATTGGCTGTGCTAAATTGCCCCTAGTGTGTAGGGATGTGGTGGCTAGGTAGATTTAGCCATGGGAAATGCAGTGTTCTAGGGTGGGGGTGGGTGGGTCTGGGCACAGTGCTCCTCAGAGGATTGGTGTGGACTCAATGGGCTGAATGGCCTGCTTTCACACTGCGGGGATTCTATCATTTGTCTGTATCTAACTGCTGTGGAGAAGCTGATTGGGAGCCACATTCTTGAATGGCTGTATCCTTTGGGGTATAGATACACCCACAGTGCTATTGAGGAGGGAGTTACAGGATTTTGACCCACCAGCAGTTAAGAAATGGTAATATAATTCCAAGTATCCTCGGCTTTTGTTTAAAGGGACATATCTACAAGTGCAAGGGCTTGAACTTGTATAAGACACTTGTTAGAGCTCTGTTGGAGTAGTGCATACTTTTGGAAAGAAGAAGGCTGAGAAGAGATTTGGTAGAGGTTTTCAAAATCATAAGCAGGCTAAATAAAGTAGATAGGGAGAATTTGTTCCCGATCATAAAAAGGATCAAGAATGAGAGAATGTAGATTTAAAGTGATTAGCAGAAGGAGCAAATATGATGTGAGAAATAACTTTTTCTTACAACAAATGGTTAGAGTCTCGAATGGACTACTTTGGAAATGTGATAGAGGTAGGTTCAGTGGAGGCAGCCAAGAGGACATTTGGTTACTTGCATGCAAATAATGTGCAAAGATATGGGAAGAAAACAGCATAAATCTGACCCCACTACGAAGGATATATTTCCCTCCCCACCCTTATCTGCCTTCCGGAGGGATCGCGCTCTCTGCAACTCCCTCGTCCGCTCCACACTCCCCACTAGCCCCACCACCCCCGGCACCTTTCCCTGCAACCATAGGAAGTGCTACACCTGCCCCTACTCCTCCCCCCTCACCTCCATCCCAGGCCCCAAAAAAACCTTCCACATCAGACAGATGTTCACCTGCACATTCGCCAATGTGGCCTATTTTATCCTCTGTTCCCGATGTGGCCTCCTCTACATCAGTGAGACAAAGCGGAAGCTCGGAGACCACTTTGTAGAGCACCTGCGCTCAGTTTGCGACAAATGACAACATCTCCCAGTCGCGAAGCATTTCAACTCCCCCTCCCACTCCCTAGACGACATTTCCATCCTGGGCCTCCTCCAGTGTCACAACGACGCCACCCAGAAACTGGAGGAGCAGCACCTCATGTTCCACCTTAGAAGCCTACAACCCAATGTGGACTTTACTAGCTTCAAAATCTCCCCACCCCCCGTCCTCATCCCATGACTAACCCTCCCTCTCATCCCCACCTCCTTGACCTGACACAACCTGTCCATCTTCTCTCCCACCTATCTGCTCTTCCCACCAATCCCCACCACTACCTACCTGCTATGACCATCCCACCTACATCTCCCAGCCCAAAACCCCCCTCTCTATTTATTTCAGAGCCCTCTTCCCCTCCCCCATTTCTGAAGAAGGGTCCTGACCCGAAACGTCAGCTTTCCTGCTCCTCTGATGCTGCCTGGCCTGCTGTATTCCTCCAGCTCCATGCTGTGTTATCTCTATTAGCATACCAGGTAGTGATGCTCCTTTGAAGAGCTAGTGCAGAGATGATTGGCCAAATAGCCTGTTCTACACCATAACATATCTTGATTCTATGAAATCAAGATGGTGTGTGGCTTGGAGGGGAATTGCGAGTGGCTGTGTTTCCATTGAAATAGTTGCCCTTGTCCTTCCAG